TATATATATATATATATAAACACACACTTTTGTCATAGGACCCCCAAGAATTTAAAACTACTTTCACCCCTGAGTACGACAGAAAACACATGAGAAACACTGCATTAGTTCAACTATTTTTCATTATGTAAGACTTGATTGTAAGAAATACCATTGTTTGTTGATAGTTTGTGGAACCAGGACAAAGCTTAAATCACCATAACAACAATTTGGAAGACCAGCCGCATAAGAAGCAGGGAATGTCCATGGTGTCTGCTGATATGGGTCTTGTCAGCATGGTACGCCAGGGAATCCTCGCTCTTCAGCTCCTGCCCTCAAACTCCAGTGCAGGTAGGTTTGAATTAAGAATGCAGAATCAGAAATCCTATCTTTTCTTTATTCTTCTCTAACTGAGCTGATGAGTTTTCTTAAAAAGAGCAAAACATCTCTTCTTTTCAACATTTAAAAACCCACTGTGACTAAATTATAGAATATCATCATAACTCTGCACAGTAAAAAGAAAGTTAACCCAACTTAATTTAATTGTTTCAAATACACTTTTGAGAGTGCACTGTAAGAAGTGTTCTTTAAAAATACACCTTTTGGAGAATACTCTGAAGAGTGTATTTGAAACGGTTAAGTTCAGTGCTGCGTTCGTATCCTAAGTCTGATGTCATGACACAAACTTCACCAGGGACAGACCCTGTACCTGCTGTGGTGGTGCAGGAGTAGAGCACAACCCACATAAAGAAGCCTTAGTCGTACGGTGGCTGTCCTAGGTTCAATTCCAGCCTGATGACCTTTGCTGTGTCTTCACCCTCTTATTTATTAAGTTAAATCAACTTAAATTAAGTTGGATCAACTTAATTGAATTACTTGTTACCAATTGAAGCAATTCAATTGAGTTGGTTCAACTCTTGTTTTTTCAGTGTACAAGATCTTTGAAAAACTAAAATAACATTGAAGCATACATTTAAAATTATTTAAATTCAATTTGTATTTTAAGTATAATGTAAGTGAAAACATAATTTTAGATATTTTAGTTTTTTAGTTTGGAACAAATTAAAAGTTTGAGTTGACTTTCTGTAGAATTTAGTCAGAGATTTGAATTATTTATTAAAAAATAAATGATTTGAGTAAGATCATGTTATGTCATGTTAAACACACTTAATGAATTAAGTTATAAAAACTTGGTAAATTTAATTGGATAAACTTAATTAATTGAGTTGGATGACCATAATATATTGAGTTCTAGAAACATAATAAATTGAGTTGGTCAGGCATAGGATACGAAACTGGCATTGAACAACTGTTTCAAGTTAAGTCAGAGTAAAACGTTTCTTTTACTTAATTTCAGTTAGTTAGATTTATAACTTTTAAATTAATTGAACACAAAACAGTAAATTGTCATCACTAAATCAAATTAATTAAGTGAGATTAATGTAAATATGTCCATAAAATGAACTACATCCAAGAACTCTATTTAGAATGTGAAGTGCCTAGATTTCTCTGTGGGTTTTACCAGAACTGTTAAGTTGATTTCAGGTTGTTGGTCATCTTCAGTGACAAACAGAGGTTGACTCTGCTGTAGAGCTAGCCGATGAATAACATTATAACTTGGTGTGCACCAATTTATCGGCCGGTAGATTTATTGGCGATGATTTCCTTAATCATCAGGAGACTGGTGATTGGCTGATACTTGCATGTGAAGCTGATCTTATCCACCAATCTTTTCTACCTCTGCAAACGTCTAAAACTCAACCACCATCCTCTTTTGCTCTTCTGTAAAAGGTTTGACTGATAGAACAGTCCACCAGGTCATGTCTGCATGTTTGCGGTTAATAATAGTCACCCCACTGCTGCTAACTCAGTGACTTTCTTGCTATATTTAGCAACATTTCAGACAAAACAATTGGTATTGGTCAAAATCCGAAGTGGCAGGCCAGACTTTTTAAAGACTGTTGATCAGCCAGAAAACTGCAATCGGTGCATCCCTAATTATACCAATATTTTATGAATGCCATAAGACATTCACACTGTTGCGTTCCTGTTTATCATTATTCTTTATTATGTGAATGCTGCACAGGCATTTACACTCAATTTTTATGAGGATTTTGCATGTGTCACTGGTTATTTCATAGAGACCATTATTCAGCAATTAATTATAAACTGATTATTTGTTTACGTCCCCATTTTGCATCAACCTCTCACATACAGCACGACATGATAGAATTTGTCCTGTGTGTTTTAGGCATCATCATAATCACTGATGGGGTGACAAGTGTTCCTGATGTGGCTGTGTGTGAAACATTGCTGAACCAGCTCAGAAGTGGAACCATTGCTTGTTCCTTTGTTCAGGTATCTTTATTTAAATGTTTTAAAACTTGCTTTCTGTGTTCTTATATTGTAATAGATATATGTAGAACATATATCAATGTGTATGTATGACATACACAGTAAATGTAAAATTGCATTTAATTGAAAATAATAAGTTGACTTTAATCACTTTTCATCAAAATACTCACTTTCAGTATGCTACTTGGAACTTGTGGTTGAAAAGTCTCCAATTCTGTTTAAGCTGGATTAATTTAGAAAAAGTAGGTTTTTGATAACTAAGCTTTTTTCTGTGTTGGAAAGTACTTAGACTCAATAGTGAATGCAAGAGGAAGGACTCAGTCAAGAAAATGAGTTTATTTAAGTTACATGAACTTAATTTTTTTTTTTGTAGTACTTGATTTAGTACTGCTTAGTTAAAATAAGTTAGGTTTACTTACTAATCTTAAACACACTTTTCTTAATTTTCTTGAGTTTGCATATTTTTTGAAGTAAGGGTATTTTTTATTTCTACATCTGCCAGGAGTATGAATACTTTTGAGCTTAGCTGCAAATTAATAATACAGCTTTTGTTTCTACTTTTAAAAGTGACCCTGTAGCAGCATTTTAATAATTCCTTTTAACTTGTGTTTGTACCTTTCTAGGTTGGCGGTTCATACTCGTATGACTGCAGTTTTGGCTACATCCCAAACGTAGAACTGATGAAGTTCATATCTTTGGCCACCGTTGGGTCCTATTTGCCCAGTTGCCCTGAAGTTGACCAAAACAGCCAAGAGATGAATGCCTACCACAGGGCCTTCCTAACCTACACTTTCCTCAAGACCCCAGAGTCCATGAACTCTGAGTACTTCTGTGGTGAGATAATTAAACTTCTATGATGGCCACACTATCTGAGGCCAGATATTTTGTATCTTTTGTTTGTGATCAAGCTGACAGGGGAAGCAAGAACATTTTCTGTTTTTGCTACATCTATGTCCATGATTCTAAATGTTGCAAAGATTGAACCTTAAAGGTTGTCTTCAAATGCAGTTTTTCTGTAACTATGAAGGCTGATATGTTGGGACTAATCTAATTAATAAAAATCCAGATTGTGACTCTTATATTTATCCAAAAACCATCAGAAAATTATGTAGTGCCTGTTTACAACTAACCTTGTCTCAAGGCTCTTTACAAAATGAAAACGTTCAATTTATATACAGAAATATACCGACAATTTAATCCAATCATATAGATGTTGTGCAACTGGGATTGCATTATTGTTTGGCTTATGTAATTCGTTACTAATAAGATTATTAACAGAGTGGAAGTTTCTTTTGGCAGAAAAAATTAAAAGCAATTGGGACACCATTCCAGATAATCTGCAATCATTAGCCAAACAAGTCAGTCACTCATAAAGAAGTAAATTCAACTGGACAGCAAACATTATACACATATACCAGAATGAGTACACAGCAACTTTTTTCTAACTTATGAGAATTAGATTAACCTTACAGTCAAAATAGATGTTTGATATCAGGAAGATGTTTCCACAGACAGCTAATCACTTTTCTCTCAAGTTTATAAAGGAGTTGTAATGTCAGCAAGATGGCTTCCAGCACCAATAATGCTAGAAAATGCAGTTCGATCAGTCTGCTTCAGAAAATGGGATTATCATTTCCTCCTTAGCTTTCAAGAGTGGGGTACTGGTCACAGTCTTTGGAGCTCTAATTGGTTAGATTTATCTGAAGCCAAGCTAACTATAAGTTCAATACATTGAACCGGATGAAGGAGATTATTTGGAATTATATTTAACCAACTTCTGGAAACTATATTTCCAGAAGTAGAGGACTATAAGTAAATCGGTGTTAATTTGCACACTGGGCTGGAGATGCAATTGTTAAGCTGGGCAAACTGGACAGAGGTTTTCGAAGAACCTTAGGAAGGTCAACAATAGGGCAGGCTATGTGTAACTACATAATATCTGATGACAACTGTAAATTACCATATTTTCTGCAGTATAAGGCGCACCGGATTATAAGGCGCACCTTCAATGAATGGCCTATTTTAAAACTTTTTTCATATATAAGGCGCACCGCATTATAAGGCGCATAGAATAGACGCTACAGTAGAGGCTGGAGTTGCGTTATGCATCCACTAGATGGAGCTGCACTAAAGTGAATGTCAACAAAACAGTCTGACTCTGGTCAGTGAGGAGAGCCTTCCGCAACTGGGTCGGGGTGTGGCCGGACGATGGTCACCCTTCTCCGTTTGCGCACAGCATGTTCGTGGAGAACGTGGTGCTAAATGACCTGCAGATGACCTGATTCTAGACGGTCGGTAGGTAGATAGGTCAGTCAAACTTTATTAACAAACCAGTGTTCTGACAACTATCCCAGCATGCACTGCGTGCTTCTTCTTCTACAGGTGAAAATGAAGTCGGCTGCTTACCGTAGTTGCTAGACCTGTTGTGGGTCAATATTGGTCCTTAAATAAGGTCACCAGATTATAAGGCGCACTGTTGGCTTTTGAGGAAATTTAATGTTTTTAGGTGTGCCTTATAGTGCGGAAAATACGGTAACCTATAAATTCAGATCCAATTACCAAGTGATTTTCATAAAATAATACCCAAAAAGTTCTTATCTTTTGTTACTATCCATCAATACCTGCCTGATAAGGTTAAAGTATTAAAAAGATAATAGATAAGGGAAAATACATCACAGGTGTTTTTGAGCAACAAGGCACTACATAAATACATAATAATAAGCACTTTGCTCCAATATGAGTTTATTAGCAAAACAGTTAAATTTTTCAGTAAAAGATGAAATGATGAAAATAAATGACCAGAAAGTTAGAGTAAAAATATACAAATAAGAATAGAACCAGTAACTTATAAAACAATGTAATGATATTCCAGTTCAGTATGAACAGTGAATTCTGAAAACCAGGTTTATTTAAGAAAAATTTACTGTATAGATGATTCTGAAATACTTTTCAAATCGGATTGGGTTGCATGAAAATATGTTGTGGATTACTCACACAGCAACACCAAAATATTTAAGAATAAAACGCAAAATAACTCCGAATGATGAGCAGTAATATCACCGTTCACTATGAATATGAACAACCCTTGTCATCATTATTGGCACCTCTTCATGTTTTGCATAACTGAGTGAATATCTTCAGAAATAAATGGAAATGTTCAAAATGTTTATCAACAGGATCTTTCAGTTGGACGTCCAAAGTAATCTAAGACAATTGCCATTTCAACATAGATATTTTAATTCCAAAGGACAAAACAGAAAACCAGCATGTGGACTAATATTGACACTTCTCCTTAATATTTGGTTGCACAGCCTTTGGCAGCAATGAAAAGCCTCCAAACATTTCTTATATACATATAAGCTTCTTCCACTTCTCAGGTGGTACTTTCTCCCACACTTCTTTTACAATATGCTCAAGCTCTTGTACATTTGCAGGGTTCCTTTCTCCAATGGCAGATTTCAGCTCCACCCAAAGATTTTCAACTGGATTGAGATCAGGACTCATAGCTGGCCATTTTAAAACAGTCAATTTTTCCCTTTCAACCATGCCTACGTGCTTTTTGAGGTGTGCTTTGGGTCGTTATCTTGCTGGAGGACCCAGGATCTTCACCTCAAACCAAGTTTCCTTACATTGGGCAAGACATTTCGCTCTAGAATTGCATGATGATCTTCTGATTTCATGATGCCTGTGATACGGTCAAGGCCTCCAGTACCAGATGCCGCAAAGCAGCCCCACAGTATTACAGATCCTTCACTATGCTTGACAGTTGGCATAGTGTTTTTTTTTCTTTAAAGATTTCATTGTGCCGTCTGTAAACATACCGTTTGTGTGAATTACCGAAAAGCTCCACATTAGTTTCATCTGTCCATCAAATATTGTCCCAGAAGGCTTGAGGTTTGTCCAGGTTCTCTTTTGTGAAGGTCAAGCGTTCTTTTTTATGTCTTTTCTTCAGCAATGGGGTCTTCGTTGGCCTCCGCCCATAAAGCCCCACTTTTAGTGTGCGGCGTGTGGCACTTGTTAAACAATCACACCAGACTGCTCCAGGTTGGTCTTCAGGTCTTTAGTTGTTAGACGTGGTGTTTTCTCCACCATTCGCACCAACCGTCGAAGACTTCTGTCATCAATTTTTCTCTTCCCCCCACATCCAGGGAGGTTCTTGACCATTCAATGCCTGGAAAACTTCTTAACATTATGCACTGTTGAAACAGGGACACCAAGGTCTTTGGAGATGGCTTTATACTCTTTGGAGGTCTTGTGCTTGCAAATAATAGTATTTGTGGTGTCTTCAGACAGCTCCTTTTTCTTTGCCATTGTCACATATGAAGATGGACTAACAGATGACTTTTAAAGCACCAACATGATCATTCATTGGTTAATTGATGTCACATGGGTGGAGGCAGTTCATCACAGGTGATCCTTATTTGTGATTTGCAAAAGGTGACCCAAATTGGGTTTCCATACTGATTTACAGCTAAGGGTGCCAATGCCATTGACATGGTAAACATGATGTTTTTCTATGTTTTACTCATAATGTTTATCTTTTTAAATGGTTTTTATAATTTGCTGTTTTCAATCAAAACAGCAAATTAAAGCTATCTGAATTGCAATGTTGTTTCACTTGATGAATTTGCTTCAGTTAATATTCTGAACTTAAACTTTGTGGGTGCCAGTGACGGTGAGCAGGTATGCTTAAGGTTCAAGATTTGCTTTGAAAATTTTTTAAATGAGACCAAATTAGCTCTAAAATTATTAAGATTTGTTTAAGACTAAATTAAGAATAATTAGTTTGTATTCAAACTAATTGTTTGAACACAAACAGTTCACAGTTGCATTGTGAACTGTTTTGCAGTTCACAATGCAAAACAGAAGTGCAGATAAAATTTTGAGAAAGTTTACTTGTGTAACTTTTTTCAGAAAAAGAAGTCAAATGAAATGCTATCGAACTGTTTTTATTGGTAGTTTTTTTTAAATCACACTATTTATACGATTAGAATTAAGTAAAAAAATGAAAAAATAAATAAAATGTAAATAAAAAAGAGTGAAAAAAAATGTATCTTTGGTGTGCAAATGAGCTGATGATGCATGTCATCCTGCACTGACACTAGTTTGTAGGATTTCTTAATACCGATGATAAGTAATCCTACAAAATTGTTGATGTTGTAGTTTCCCAGGACAAACTGTTCAATGAGCACCTAGTGTCAGCCAGTGGTAATCCAGCCCTGGTCATGCGGAGGAAAAAGCACACAGAGAAAGAAGTCCATGCACATTTAATAAGTGTGGTTTCAGTGCGACTGAGAGAAGGCTACACCATCAGAGACATCAGCCTCACCAAAGGTAAAGGTCTCTTTTCAGTAGTGACATTTAAAAGACTTGAGGTCTGACCAACATGTTCAGAGTATATCCTGTTGTTTCCTGTAGGAGGGACCCAGCTGGAAGTGAAGTTGGCTTTGCTGTGGAAACATAACATGCATATTGAGTACCTAGCAGCTGCCACTTGGCCTTTGGACTCGTCCAACAGAAGCACTAAGGTGGAGGTGACAATGGAAGGCAGCTATGACATCCTGCATGATATCAGCTGCACACAGCGGAAGCCCATCACCAGTCCATACCGCACTTCTGTCATCCGGCGCTTCTGGAACACACTTCAGAGGTAGTGTTTCTCAAGGTTTCTACTCAGACGTTACATAGCAGTGTTTCTCAAACTTTTTCAGGCTGAGGATCACTTAACCCATTTAACAAACAGTCACGGACCACCTAACCTGAAATTGCCCCCACGATAACACATCTTTATATATAATGCAACCTGAAATGAAAATATTAATCTCTTAACTCACATATTGTTGTTTTCTTTGATCATCTTAATGAGAAGAGTGGTGCTGTTTGGTAAATGTGACTGGCCACAACAAAGCCATGAACACGTCTACTTGGGCATTTTGAGTTATTCACTGATTCTGATAGTGTGGAGTCTAAGCTTTCCAATGATGTCAAACACACAGAAATGAAAGAAATTGTTCTTTACTACGAAGTGTTATGTGCATTAATGACATTTAGGGCTATTTGTGATTTAGAAGCACAATTACAGAAAAATAGACTTTTTAACAGAAATCATTTTCTGTTTTTCTGCACCATTAAAATAATTAACCAATTTCTATCATTTGTATTTATTTATTGTATTTTTTATTTAGTTTAATATTTTTTGATTAAACAAAAAGTAACAATTGCTGTTGACCTGAAAGCGGAGCATTCAGATGAACAGTAAAACTTTGCTGGTTTTACAACTTTGCTGGCTGTTCTGACTAACTGGAGCGATTCCTACCGCTCACCGCGTAGAGCCGTTCAAAGGAATCCAGTCGCTAATGACACATCAACACTCTCAGCAGCTATGACTTAGCTTCCTCTGATCTTATAATATTCCTGAAGTTGTTTTCTTTCCACTGGTATCTGCAGCTTTTCTTTTCAGTAATCTGGTTTTAAGCCAGTTTTCCATCATTTTCTTTAAGACAATCCTTTGGTAAGCTAGCTATAGCGTCGCACATTGAGCTCATGGCACATAAATGGTTGTTTACATGCAGTACCTTGTGGACCACTGGGGGCTGCCCGCGGACCAAAGTTTGAGAAAGACTGCACGGGTGTTATTTTTGAAATGGGTGAAATGTATTTCATTGATGTGTGTCTTTCCCAGCATCAACCAAACTGATCAGATGTTGGTGCATCTCCAGTCATTCAATTCAATCCCCGAGAACTACAGGATTCCAGAGAGCACCAAAAACGGAGTCCCTTTATTCTACATCCCTCCTGGCTCTACAACTCCGGTACGGTGGAATACACTTCCCAGGACACTCCATCCTGCATGTTTTTTATGTTTCAAAATGTGTTTACATTGATGGTTACATTCACTTAAAATGTCTGCTGAATTTGATGACAAGTTGCTAAGGGAGTGTATTCTCAGGTGGGCCCCAAAAAATAGCACAGAGAAAATTTTACCAGTATGTTTGAGACTGTATTGGTCTAACAAATGTATTTAATGGCAATCCACCTGACCAACCTGTTTATGCCAATTTAGGAGATTATGAACATAAAATGTGTGTTTTGTAAAATCCTATGGTTCACTGGATTTAAAAAAAAGGCTTGTTAAAGGATTCCTTCCATTAAAAAAAAACTGCTTTGAGATGATAATTAGGTGGCTATACACACATGGACAAAGTTGTTGATACCTCTGTTGATGACCGAAAAAGCCACAATGGTCAATGAAATAACTTGAAACTGACAAAATTAATAAAAAAGAACAATGTACAGCAAATTAACCAATGGAAATCAGACATTGCTTTTGAAATGTGTTTTAACAGAAACATTTTAAAAATATACTAATGTGGGGTGCTGTGGTGGTACAGGGGCAAAGCACAACCCTGTGCCTTAGTTCTTGTGCCTGTGCCGCATATCTTCCCTCTCTCTCATTACTGTCAAACTACTTTTGGGGGATCCGGGCCTGCCAAATCTTGGAAAAGTCTAGAATTCCACCCCCCTCCCCCCCATAAAAAATATCATAAAAGAAACCTTTGTATTTAAACAATATCAATATGAAAAGATGAAAAAAAAACAAAGAATGAAGTAAATCCGCCATTCTTCAAAGAAAAAAATAAGGATGAATTTGTAGGTCCACCCCCGCCATTGTTAGAACAAGTGTGGGAAGAGCAGCATCAGCACTGAGAGCCGCTAAAGTGAGGGGC